TCTAAAACACGCTAGTCAGTAGATACCACTCATCATATCATAAAACATTTTTAACATATATATATATAGAAGCTCTCATATTCATATCTTATTAAAGCCTTTCTTTGAAATAAACACTCCCAGGCATAAATCATTAAAAAAAATTCTGGTTCCGAATGTCTGTTCCTCTGGTCTCATTTTCAGCAACCTCATTCCCAAGCTTTTGGTATATTTTTAAGAAAAATGATAATATAGTTTTTTTAATATTTAATCAGATACAAATAACAATAAAAAGTTCAAAATGCCTCTTTTGAACCAATTCATTCCACAAAAATCATTTGTCCAATGAGGACTCGATTGATCAAAGTTCCATTAAGAAGCATATCTGAACCACTACCGACGGAAGGTGGAGAAGAGGGATTTAGATTCGGTGAGTCAGGCAATCCTTCCACAGGATGCGTGTCAACATGTGTCACACACCAATAGATCAAATCAAAGGCTAGGAGGCAAGAGTGCAAGAAAGAGTTGAGAGCCAGGTTAAATTTATTCTTTTTAATACACAAGTCCCTCATAAAAGTAAGGGTAAAATATACTTGAATCTCTGTATGATAAAAGTAAAATATTATTAAGTCAGGCTTTTTAGAAAGGAAAGAATTTTAGAGAGAGAGAGACATAAAAAACACACTGATTTTATTTTTCAATTGAGAATGCCTATAGACTCTTCAAACACTCTAACAAATTCTTAAACAAAACTAACATCATAACTTAAGCTCCTTTATATATATATATATATATATATATATAAATAAAGAGAGAGAACATATAGGTGAGGACAGTATATTTGCCAAAAGCTAAAATAACTTTTGACAAAAGCAAATGCAACTTTTGACAAAAGCTAAAAACTAAGAGTAAAAGCTACTTTTCTAAAGGTGGCTTGTCAAAAATAAAAGCAGATTTTCAAGCACGATTAGAAAATAAGACTGCTTTATCTTAAATGTTTGTAAACGCACTCTTGATTAAATCTTAAATGTTTGTAAACGCACTCTTGATTAAATGAGAGGTTAGAGTACCTACTTTCCTCTTTTCTAAATTACCATGCTAAGCTCTCCTTTTTCCATTGTGCTTCTTTATCTTTTTGTTCTTCAAACTATTATAGAGTGCAAGGATCTTTTACTTCAGAAAACTGTTAATAAAATTGAAATTCTATCTCGCACAAATCCTGACTTTTTGGAGGAAGGATTTCCCAACTTTGGGACGACCAAGTCTCATGAGTTATGAAACTTTAGTCCATCCATGTAGAATATCCATGCTTCAGAACAACATCTACAACCCATTATGCTGGATGGATTTTTGGGGCTGGAAGATCATCTGAGATGACAAGCTAGGAAGGAATTGGACCAATTGGAGTACACTTAAGATCTGAATATGTGCCTATAAAATTGTTTAGATCACATAAAAAATATTTTAACTTAGTTAAAACTTTTTTTTCATGTCGATTAACAACATAGAGATTTCCATGTTGATTCAAGTTATAGGGACAGTAGACAATGAAAATGGAGTAAATCTTTCGCTTGTTTAAAGGTACTTTCTACAAGTCAAAAGTTTCAATGACTTGGTAAAGTTCTTTGCACCACCATGATAATGATGACAACCATTCAAGGAAGTTCCAGAGTTTAGACCCTTCATTATTTTTATCACAAAGATAATGGTAAATAAGTAAAGGTGGGACAGCAAATGCACGAGTACAAGGCTGAGAGAGACCATATATATCACATGGCTTCTTCTAGGATAAGACCTCAAACATAAGGAATAGCCTGATATGAAGTTTGAATGTCAAAGTAATCAAGCTGAGGGTGGGTCTGGGTCTTTTGGACGAGGTTTAGCCAAAAGAACAAGCTTCTTTTAGCTAATTGGTGGACTTTAGGAATAAATGTGAAACAAGAATTAAGAAGAAAAATTAATTTCCTGAGTATAATGGTAAAAATAAAAAGGGGTTAGTGATGAGAAGGTGTTATGAGTTAGATCTTTTTCTGGGGTCTGGTCAGGTGGGGTAGGCCAAAGATAACACCAGTAGAAGTTATTGACCAAGATCTCTTAATTAACAATAGTCCTAAAAGCTTGTTAAATGATAAAATACAATGACATCAAGGGTCTAATCAAGTAGGGTAAGCCATAGATAATACCTATAAAAGTTGTTGACTAAAATCTCTTAATTGATAATATTCCTAAAAGCTTGTTAAATGATAAAATACAATGGCATCATACAATTCATATAGCCAACCTCACCTAATGGGATAGGACTTTTTGTTATAGTTTGGTAACATAGTTTGCAATGGTTTTATGGTTTCCTTTTATGTATCAAACCATGGATTTATAGCGGGAAAACTAGCTTTTTCATCCAAAGAGTTGAGTTTTAAGGAGTACTTTTTTGTTTTGGTCAATGATTTTTGGAAACGACATGTCGTCCATTTTTATCACAAAATGGTAGTAGCTAGAGTGAAAGCTGAATTTTTCTATGCCACGTGTTGAAGCATGAATATTCTATATAAATGGAACCAAGGTTCCTAACTCGTGAAACCAAGTAACCCCACAGTCATAAACCCTTTCCTATAGAAAGCTAAGATCCATACAAGATAGAATCTGAATTTTATTAACAATTTCCTAAAGCAAGATATTTTTTCACTTTATAACAATTTAAAGAACAAGAAGACAAAGAACCACAATGGGAAAAAAAAAGAGCTTAGCATGGCACTTTAAAACAAAGGAAAGCAAATACTCTAACCTGTCATCTAATCAAGAGTGCATCTACAAGCATATGAGATAAAGAAGCCTCATCTTCTAATCATGTGTGAGAATATGATTTTATTTTTAATAAGTCACCTTTAGAAAAGTAGCTTTTGCTTTTATTTTCTAACTTTTGTCAAAAATTACATTAATTTTTGTCAAAAGTTGCTTTTACTTTTGTCAAAAGTTGTTTTCACTTTTGTCAAATCTATTGTTCTCACTTGTATATCGTCTTTCTCCTCTCTTTATCTATAAAAGGAAGCTTGAGTTATGATATTAGTCATAGCTTGTTTAAGAGTTTGTTGAGTGTCTACAAGAGTTTGCAAGCATTTTCATCTAAGAAATAAAATCAGTATTTTTTTTAATTTCTCTCTCACACATTCTCTCGTTTCTCCTAAAAGCTTGACTCGGTAATATCTTACTTCTATTATATGAAAATTCAGGCATGTTCTACACTTGCCTCAATGAGAAACCTCTGCGTCAGAAAGAATTTGATCCCAATCCATGAGTGTAAACCATGTTAATATGCTTAAAGATATCTGGTTAACTTGGATCAATATCGTCCCAAGAGATACAGGATCTCTGGGTCTATTGAACAAAACCTGCCCCCATGGTATCTTCCTAATTTTATTTATTTTTTTATTCACAAGGTTTAAACATTGAATCTCATACATCCGTCTACATGATCCAACCACTGTTGATGTGTTAGATAGACTTTTTAATAAATTTTCACATATTAATTTGATATACAGAAAAATGTAAACTATAAAGGTAACTTTCACAAAAAGCATCCGTATTTAAGTTCATACCAGTTGCACTTACTCTAAGAAGGAAACATATTATTGATTTATCAAACCCTTAAGCGATCAGGCAGCCTCATAACTTATCATGGATTTGGAAAGGAATACTAAGTTGTGCTAATGTGGTTGCAAAAAGCTGAGATGGAGAATTGGGAATTGAGAAAACATTCCCCCAAACTCACATTTCTAGATTCTACATAACCAACAAAGTAGGGCTGTTAATTAAAGTCAAGCCCATCAAGCCAGCTCTTTTAAACCTTAAAATAATTAAGACAAGGCTGCCACTTTAGGGTAGAAAAAGAAAATAAAAGAGCCAACCCTTTTAAACCCTTTTATTATTTTTCTTTTAATTTTAATCTTAAAAAATAAAAGACTAAGTATCCAACTAAAAGAAATGAAAACCTTAGACTCATTCCTCCCTCGCTCATTCATTCATCAGGATTTAACTAATGATAAAAGTAAAGTCTAATTTTTATTGGTGTTAGTTTTAATATTACTATTTGATGTTAGATTCGAATATTTAAGTTTTATATATTTATTGTGGTGTAGATTGACTTAAATTTATTTTTCTAAATGTAATCTTATGTGTAATAACCTTTTTAAGATTATAAATATGTTTTTTTAGGTTTTTAAATTGAAAAAAGAAAAAAAAATATAAGGCCAATGCCCACAAGGTCAAGCCTTGCAAAATGAAGCTCTAAGATGTAATCAAGCTTATCAAACCAGCCCATTTAAGCCCTGACCTATTGACAGCTCTACAACGGAGAAACATTCCAGCTAATGCAAAGGTTTCTGGTCTCTTGAAAAAAATCTAAAAACCCATTATCACCAATGAAACAATCTCTTTTATCCTCCCTCTTCCCCAACCTTCATTTGCAGCAATTCACCAATATTCCGATCTCCTTAAACGGAGCTGTAAATTGGTTTGGCATGGAAATCTTACAGGGAACTATGCGGTTTCAGCATGCTTCAAAGATCTTACCCCAGCTTCTCAAGCTTCAGAGTCAGATATTTTGTGTTTGCAAACTTAAAATTCCTACCAAATCTCTGCTTTTGATTAGGAAGTTACTAAATATAGCCATTCCGTCACAGGACATTCTTCTACATCATCACCTACACTCCCATCAACTTTGTGGCTTTGGATGTATGGAAGAAGAATCCATCCAACATCTCCTTTTTAACTGCCCTTTCTCAAGAGCAGTATGGTTTGGTGGGCTCTCAATTTTCTCGTCAGAATTTACTAATTCTACTCCTCCAAGACAAACAGGACAGATCTCTCATAAAAATCATAATTCTGGTAAATATGATTTGGGGAAAAAGAAATCAAACTTTTCATATAGGCAAAATACAGCAACCAGAAAATATGATTTGAGAAATTGAGTGCAAAATGATGTGCTCGCTGGACGTTTGTCCAAATGAATCAGAAATTGAACCTACCTCTGCTCAAGAGCAGATCTCCACCTTCCGAATGCAGTAAAGCTAAAAGGAAGGAGAAAACACAAATTCAGATTGCCATCTTCCATGAGCGTCAATTTCTTCAAACATTTACATGGATCAAAGCAAGGAAAGTACATGGTGTGTCGTCGTCAGATCAGATACCCATACCTCCTTCGCCGACGACGTTTGAGGCACTCGATCAATTGGATCCGAAACTTCAAAGTTGGCACCAGATCGATCTCCTCGGTCCAGCATCTTAAGCGCATGCAGCTGCAAATTCTTCTTTCGTTTCACCCAACAGACATCCTGTCGTTGCTCTCCTCTTTTAGCTCTGTTTCTTTGTATTTATAGAATTGCCTTTTAATTTTAAAAACAAAAGCAAAAAAATGGGCTATATTTTTGTTTTTGGGCTAAAAAATAATGGGCCTCTTTGTTTAAGGGCTTACTAATTTAAACGGGTAAAAAAATTTAGTTGGGTCCAGTTCACTGAAAATTTTATAAACAATTTATAAAATAATTGTATGTAATTAAAAAAAAATTTTTAGTTCTATCTCCTACCAAATTGGTTATGGATGCTACATCTAGAACTAAAAAGTAATTCAAAAAATATGGTAGGGTCAAATTTTTTTGGTCAGGTAAAGAAAACCTTTTTTAGATGAAAATTTCTGTTTATATATTAAAATAATTGCTGTGAAAATAAAAATAAAATAAACTATGAACCATCTAATTTTAATTTGTATAGTATAAAATTCATTATAAATATATATTCTGATATTCAAAATTTATCATTTTAAGTTTGCGTGCTTCATTGGCAAATTCAAAAGGTTTTGCTTGATTTGAACATAGAAGTAAAAAAGTTGGGTCAAGCCAGAAAACTAAATAAAGGCAACATAATGGCATTACATCTTCCAATTCCTTTTGTGAAGTGGAATCTTTATATGTTTAATCTGAATGGCTTATGATAATATATTCTCACAATGAAACCCTGAAATATAATTAAATTGAAGATATATTTGAAGACATTTGCTTTTTCTATTTTAATTGAAAAGCATAATGGGCATGACAAGGATCATCCATTTAAACTCCATTACTCCAACCAAGGTTTGAAGACTCGGACCGACCCGGACGATCGGACCGGTCGGACCGTCACTCGTTGAAGAAAGCGGGTTAGGTCAACTAATTAACCCGTATGAGCGATTGACCTAAGTTGGCTCGTCTGAAACCAGACGGGTTTTATAAACCCGGAAAAGAACCGAAACCCAGAACGGTTTGAATGGTCAGAAGGGGGTCAAAGGAGGGGCAAAATTGGTATTTTAAAAATTAAAAAAAAACCCTTATCAGTTATCAGATCACTATCGGCTCTCGGATTTCACTTTCAAATTTAGATTTTAGATTCAGCCATTAATGCCTACGCCGGTACTCCCTACAGTCACGCAACCTCGTCCGCTCACCATCACAGCTAGACTCAGAAGTTAGAAAGAAATTAGGCATCAGCGTCTCACGGTCTCAGTCTCAGTCTCAGTCTTCTCTTCTCTGTTCTCTCTCTATCTCGCAAGGTAGCCGGTGGGTTCTGTCGTTCTGGTCAGTCATCGGCTCATCGCACATCGCCTCCTCAAATCTCAGCTCTGGGTTTCATTTCTGGGACTTCTTTCTTCATCTTCTTCACCATTTCTGTGGGTCTCTTCTCTGTTCTCTCTCGTGCATTCACACCGAGACAGTCAGACTCTTCCCTCTCTGTGCATTCACATCGTTTCTGTGCATTCACCATCTTCGTCTTCTTCACAATCAGACTCTTCCCTCTCTGTGCATTCACACTGAGACAGTCATACACTCAACATCCTTCATTCTTCATCTTCTTCATTGATCGCTAATCGCTCTCTCTTTCTCTCTCTCAGTCCTAGTGAGCTCCCTCATCTATCTCTCTGCCCAATTTAATCTAATGCCATGGTTTTGAATAACAAATTAGCAATGAATGAACGTTGATGGATGAACATTTTTTTTATTATCTGCTCTGTTTATTTTTTGAATTCTGAATCATTCAAGACTCTTGTACTATGTTGTCTGCTCTGTGATTTATCTATGGATATGGTTATAATTATATTCATATTATCCTAATTGATTTGAGACTCAAGAGTTGTTTATTGACAAAATAGGAAGGCTATATTCATATTGTCTATCTGCTTTTAATTTGTTAATTTACTTGTTGAGGTGTAGAAAATGTCGTCATCTGATCATGCATCTACTGCTGCATCTACTCAATCTATTAGAGCTAAATCAGATCCTACATGGGAGCATTGCACTCAAATACCAAACAAAAAAGAAGGTGGCAAACCTCGCTTAAAATGCTTGTATTGTGCAAAGGAATTTGCTGGTGGGGGAATTAATAGAATGAAACAGCACTTTGTTGGGAAAAGAGGAGATGCCATTAGTTGTAAAAATGTGCCTCATGATATTCGCTTTCGATTGGAGGAAAATTTGAAAGAGATTAAGGAAAAGAGAACAAAAAAACAAGATAACCCAACAGAAACAGAGGATAGTCTATTTAGGGGGAATGATTCAAATATGGAAGAAATGGCTCCTCCACAGTCTCAAGAAAGGGTGATTGAAGCAAATGTTTCAAGTTCTTCTCAATCAAGAAAAAGGAAGGCATCTGAATCTTTAGAGAAGTTCTTTGCCCCAAGGACAACCTCGAGTGCACAACCAGGAATAAGAAGTGCATTTGCAGGTAAAGAAGCTTTGCATAGAGCTGATTTAGCTATTGGTAGGTGGTTATATGATTGTTGTATTCCAATAAATGCTGTGAATTCCATTTACTACTAACCTATGGTAGATGGTATTGCTGCTATTGGTCCTGGTTATAAAGCCCCAAATTATCATGCTGTGAGAAGTAAAATATTGCAAGACATGAAGAAGGAGGTTCAGTTACTAGTTGATGAATGCAGAAGTTTTTGGGCTGAAACTGATTGTACTATAATGGCAGATGGTTGGCAAGATCAAAGAAATAGGCAGTTAATTAATTTTCTTATTTAGTGTCCTAGAGGAATTGTTTTTATTAAATCTGTTGATGCCTCAAATATAGTTAAGGATGCTCAAAATCTTTGCAATTTATTCATGGACATGGTTGCATTTGCTGGTGCGAATAATATTGTTCATCTAGTAACTGATAATGCAGCTAATTATAAAGCTACAGGGAGATTATTAAATGACAAGTACCCTTTTATTTTTTGGTCTCCTTGTGCTGCCCATTGCTTAAATTTGATTTTGGCAGACATAGGTAAGATGGAGATTGTTACTAGTTTAGCAGCATGTGTATCTGTGGTTTCAAAATTCATATATAACCATGCATTTTTGCTAGCTTGGTTGAGGAAAAGAGAGAGTTGGGTAGAAATTATTTGCCCAGGGGCCACACGGTTTGCCACTACTTTCATTGCTTTGAAAAGTATCTATGAGCACAAGCATGATATACAAGCCTTGATAACTAGTAAGGCATTTACGGACTCTAGATACTCTAAGGATCGAAAGGCTAAGGATGTGACAATGATTGTGTTGGACAACAAATTTTGGAATGACTGTAAAATTGTTGTTGAAATTGTAAAACCACTCATCGATTGTTGAGAATTGTTGATTCTGATGATAGGCCATCACTTGGGTATGTCTATGATGGTATGTATAGGGCAAGGAAAGCTATAAAGAATACTTTTTTGAAGAAAAAATATTTGTACAAGCCCTACACAAGGATTGTTAAGAGAAGGTGGGATTCTCAGCTCTGACGAATCTTCATGTAGCTGCTTATGTCTTTAATCCTGCCTTTCTTTATGATAAAGAAAAATTTTCTCAAAAGCCAGAGGTTATGCAAGGATATCTTACTGTTATAGATAAGAAAGTCTCTTCTAATAAGACCAAGTTCTTACAAGAAGGGACACAATATCAAGAAAAGAGTGGTAGCTTCGGTCATCCATTGGCTATTGAATCTGCAAAATCAATGTGACCTGATAAAGTAAAGATTTATATATTTATCTTTCATATTTATTATCTTGCACCTTTATCTGTAAAATCTCTTCTACTAACTTTATCTTTAATATGGCAGATGAATAGTGGCGATATTTTGGAAGTAGTTGTCCAAATGTTAAAAACTTAGCCATTAAATTGTTAAGTCAAACTGCATCTTCATCAGGTTGTGAAAGGAATTGGAGTGTCTTTGAAAGAATACACTCCAAGAAAAGGAATAGATTAGAGCATCAAAGGTTGAATAATCTTGTATATGTTCATTACAATTTTCGCTTAAAGAATAGGTATATTATTTAAAGCTTTGTGTTTATTTGCATTCATAAAGATTGGATGAATGAATTCTTATAGTTTGCTATTGTCATGTGTATTTTAGAGTTGCTAACAAGAGAAAAGCAACTGATCTTGTTGATTTTGAAAGTATTGATAAAATTGAGTATTGGGTAATGGAAGAAGATGATCCTTCTTTACTTCATGCTGATGAGATAGAAGGAGATCTCTTTTATGATGAGCAAACAATACCAAGAGCTATTATTTCGCAGCAGGAAGAGGAAGGTTTGAATTTGAATTTTCTTGAGAGCTTTATTACATGCTGTCACTTTTATTATATTGCTCTTAATAATGCTTTAATCTGGTTTGATTACTTTGATGTATTTGTTTATGAAGATGATCAACAAAGAGTGAATGTGGTAGAGGGTGAAGGGATTGATTTAGAATCATTTGATCAGGAAGATGATGATAGTTACAACTCAGATGCTGATGCTTTCGAGCCTAACCATGCCTGGATTAATCAAGTGGATTGACAAAGATCTGTCAATATCTTTGGCAAGTAATGAAATTATTAGTTATCTTATAATGTTTGGCTTGTGGATGGTAGATTGTTGTACTTGTGAACTTGTTGCATTATGTTAATGACTTGACCAGAACATATTATGGTGTTTTTATTGTATTAATGACTTAGGTGTTTTGAAAGACTTAGGTGGTGGTATATTTTTGCTAGCTTGTTGTATTAAAGACTTGGGTGGTATTTTAAATATATATATATATATATATATGTTATTTTTTATTTAATTATTAGGTAGCCGGTTCAACCATCGGTCCGACCGGTTGAACCATGAGACTCGTGACTCGCTGACATTTCCTGTTCGCTATCTGGTCCGGGTTTTAAAACATTGACTCCAACACATGTAACTTTACACATGAGGGGCAGTACATGTTTGGATTCCACATTTGCGAGCTAGAATTTAGGGGAAAAATTGTAATTTTGCCCAATTTGATGTTTGGCTATTTTTTTAGATTAAGGTTGTAAAACAAAAAATAGCAATTGATTT